GGGGGGGGGAGGGGGCAGCCCCCCCCCAGGACCCCCTTAGCTACGCCTATGCATCTTCTTGGTTGTCGAAAGTCGGCATTTATTGGCCAACTAATGTAAAAATATTGCAATTTCATGGTAAAAAATTACAATCTTATTGCGCATTAAATTGAAATTTCTCTTCAATATTTGCATTTCACTGTGGTACTTGGGGACCTGAAGAGTGCTGCTTGTCAAAAAGGTAGTTTCCTCCGTCCGGATTTTTGAGCCCAAAAATGAGGGGAGGCTGCAACTCAGGAGAGATATTCAAACCTTTTCATCGTGTATCAACACAAATTATTTGGTATGGCGTGGAGTATGGCAGTGAAAATCACTGCCCGTTTCATCTTTGCGCTGAGATTATTATTTTTTTAAACGGTCAATACAAGTCGGCAGGCTAACGTAGGTAGGTAACCATCTTAAAGGTGAAGGTTTAATTATAAAAATAAAAATATGACTACATTAATTGTGCCACCCTGAGGCAGGTAATTTGAGCAGAAGCGAGGAATTTACGTGCGGTTTTCGCATTAATTCAGTTTAAAGACTTGTCACTTCGATCGGACTTATTAATCTCATTAGCCTGACTCATAATGTTATAGCCCTATTGGGTACTTAAGGTAGTGTCATTAATCTTAACGTGCGTATAAAAGTTAGTTCTATGCCTGGAAATCAGGTTTGATAGCTTTTTAATACGCGTGTTTAGTTGCAAATTACTCTCCTCTCGACTTCCACCTCTCTACGTTCGGTGCACGAGATTGAGTGAGAACGTGTACTTCGGTTTCTCTTCGAAAAACAAAAGGAAACATTTGATTTTGTTTATGGGACCTGCTCTACTCCATTTCCACAAATATGCCCTTTAAAACGGTAAGTAATCTATTTTTAGACAACAGATTTAGTAGACTCTGAACTTTTAGCATTTTGAAATATCTTTGTTTTAACCCTTACTATAATTAATCGTCAAACTTTGATCATCATATTAGGCACGTCTAAAACTAACTATTTCACAATTTTTCACTACTTAATTGAATTTTTTTTTTGTTTTTTCGAGAAGAAATATTTAAATCGTATACATTGATATGATGTTTCCGTAAAATGTATTTATCATCGCAGATCTATTTTATTTTATTTTTATTAATTTTTTAAATTAATTTTTTTTTGTTTTCTCATAATTGTTGCACACAAAGCACACAAAAAGAGCGGGAAGTTTGAAAGGATCTCATTAGACAATTTTTTTAACCTCTAACGAGCGTTGCTTGTTTTGAAACTCTCTTATAGTCTCCGATGAAAATAATCCTGTTACTTACCTGCTGAAGGATGTATTAAAAATTGGATTTTTGGATGGCATGAGCATAGAGTCCCATAGTTTCGTAGATTCTGGACATTGAGAATATTCAGCCCTTTCAGATAGTTAGGAATGAATAAAATAATGTACAGGAATAGATACGTCGGTGTTTCGAGAATTGATCTTAAAGAATCTTAGATTATTAATATATGTACCACACCGGCTAAATATTTTCAGAACATCCACTCCTTTCAGAGCTCATCTTAACCCGTCAACCTCCTTTCCTCGAAATTTGTATCGTAAGTGCTTGAGTACCATCTTTGTAATTGCACGATTCTTTTACAGACGGTGGATTTGACTTTAATTCCGGAACTGATAGCCCTCTTCTTTTTATTCGGATCGGTATTTATTTTCTCCCTATTGCAAATGACTTCTATATTATTTCGTTGGCCTTTCCGAATCATGCCAGAGATGGGACGAGTAGAAGGCATACCTGATATGCAAATGTAACCACACCTAACTCGTAAGTATTTTTTTTTCATTACTGTCGGGAATAGCTTTACAACATAGAGTATGAGTGTAGCAATAGTGTTTAAAAATGGTCAAGCTACAACTTTACGGTGTTGAATAAAAGTACCTTTGACCCTTAAGTGCTATAGATACGAAACTTTTTCTAAAGTAGTGCGAGGAATTGGCTGTTATGTTGACTCCATTGGTTTAGCATGACCACCAAGAACCCCCCCCCCCCCCAAAAAAAAAAAAA